GTGTTTGATTAAAGGAATAAAAGATTATTAGAATGTATATTTAATCAAATTTTCTTTATTATATATTTGTATAATATTATAAGTTAGAAAATATTTATATATTTTCTTTAAAAAATTTAAATTCATAAAATTTATATAATTTTTTACAAAATTAAAAATATAAAAAAAGTTTAATAAAAGGGTAAAATTTTATTTTAACCCTTGAACTTCATATAAAATTTTAGTTATATACTTTTTTGTAAATCTAAAATAGTTTAAGGATAAATTTGTAATTTAACATTCGTAAAATTTTTATTATTCAATGACAGAAGAATGATATTTTTAGAGAAAAAAAAATTTAAGGGCATTTTAGTCCAAAACGCTGGTAATATTATAATACCTAAAAGAATGAAGATAATGACATTCCTGATAATATACCCTAAAAAATTAACTATTGGTAATAAAACATTACCTGGAATGACATTTCCGGCCAACCAAACGGGGAAATGTGGATTCCATTTCCGGAGAATCCCACATTCCCCCATCCAAACGACCCCTTAGGTTACAACTATGTTACTTGTTTCCAAAGATTAGTCATTTTATTATTACTGTTTGTATTATGCATAAACTTTGAATTCAATTCTTACATCTTAGTTACATAAATCAACTTATTAAAGAGATGATTGTTATTTTTAGAAGTCTCAAGTTTGAGCATCAACAATTATAAGAGAGTATTTGAGCTTTCATTATAAATTGATATATAAATTAATATTTATATTATTAATATTTGTATTATATATAAATTAACTCATATAGAAAAAATATAGTTCAATTCTATGATTTTAAAAAGATAATATGATGAAATTATAAAAGTTAAACATTCAAAGAAACGTTTCACTCGTTTAACCATGCTCACTCAAACACTCCCGTATTAGATTCTTTCATATCAAACAATTAATTAAAATAAAAAAAATAAAAAAATAATTATAAATTGAAATTCACTTATAAATTAATTAAATATAATTATAAATCAAACTTCTTACTTTAAATCAAATAAATATAATTATATTACGTTCAATATGCAAGTAATGCCTTTAAAATAATAATAATAATTGTAATAATATGAATTTTAAAACAGTTTATTATAATATAGAGAAAAATCAATATAAATATAAATTTGATATTAGAAAGATAAATAAAAATTTAAGTAAAAATAATACCTCCTTGTAATAAGCAAAACATGCTCTTTTTTTCTTTCAAATTATGTCATTGAATGGTTAAAATTTATCAAATGAAATTATTATTTTTATTAATTCATATATTAAAACATATAAAAATATATTATTAGTATTTGTATTATATATAAATGCATAAACTTGTTTTAGACATGTACTTTAATTTGGTTACCTTTATTATTTATATTTTTAAAATTTTAATCATTATCTAAAATAATATATAAAATTTGTTAAATTAAATTCTATCACTAATCCATATTTTATATGTTATTTCTACATTTGATTCGTATTCTTCGTATTTAATTCATATTCTTCATTTTGATGATTTTAAACTATATATGTAATTTAATTATATTTTTTCTATGTTATTAAAATTGAAATTTAAAAAGAACATGAATAAAATTTATACCACTATTACATTTGTACATCATGTTAAATTTAATTTTTCAGTCCTGTGAAGAATTCGTCACCGTTCACTATTACATTTGTACACCCAACTTTCGATAAAAAAAATCGAATATTCAATCATTTTACTATCATTTATTACAAAATTATTATCATCTTCTCAAGAAAATACATTTATATGACATTATCGTTTTTAAATTTGATGATCTTAATTCCTTTCTATCACTCACATAGATAATTCATCTTGTTCTTTTATGCATTGGACGTGACAAAATAGCTGATCGAGTTCCTATTTGAATAGTTTCCCAACTTTGAAGATGATACTGAAACTGCCATTAGGGATCTACAAGTGAATGAATGCAGTCAAATTCCTTTGAACTTGAAGCTTAAGCAGAAAAATACTAATCATTGTAGCAAGGACCCATCAGATAATTAGGCTATACATTTTTACATTGTAGATGTTAACGAAGAACTTGTGTTATTCTTTTTCAATAATTTGGGTGATTATAAGATAAAATATATTTAAAATATTTCTTAATCACTGATAATATATATATATATATATATTGCAAACGTTACTGCTCGAACCCGAAATGTATTTGTTAATGCACGAGGATAGTCTTTGTTTGTATTTGTTCTTAAAATGATTTCTTATGCATTTGTTAATGCAAGTTTTACTGTTGGTATTACGAAATTCACTATTATCATCTGATTCTAGCCTCCTAATTTTTTTATGGTAGTGCTGCTTATTTGGTGTATATAAATTCATATAGTACTAATTTTTCTTGTGAAGAGGAAGCATAAATTCTTAGCATCATACATCAGAGATCGGGGCACTGAATGAGGATAGTCTTGGTTTGTATAGGGACTTGGCTCACTTGAGCAGTGTCGTCTTTAACAGGTTCCTCAGCAGAAAAATCTTTAAACCATGTACACAATTTGCAGTCCCCACAATTAGATAGAGCAAGAATTGCAAAGTGTTGACTTGGAAGAGTCAGGGAAGGTTAGAAATTGAGTCTAAATCTATTTCATAAAAATGGTTATATTAACTCATTATATTGCCGACGACACCCCATGCTTTGATGCTCAGTTTTCTTAACATCAATTTAGCTTAATAAAATAATTGAGTAAGCACATTTGATCTGTTGGATAAGTTGTTTATCTTTATTTTCTCATTTTTTTTAAGTTACGAGTTCTAAACTTACTAGGAGCACTCCACTTCCTTTCATAGAGTCTTATTTCCCCTCCTCTCTAGATAGTATTAGGATTTGATTTAAATTTTATCAAAAAAATTATAATAAAATCATTCTTATGGAATAATTTCACCTTCAACTTTCAAAAATTGATTTTAATTTTGTTTTTTATGCTTGTAATAGACAGTCGAATAAAAGAAATTGTATGATTTAAAAAGCTCATCAACGACAGATAATTTTATGAAGGACGTAATAAATCGATCTGAAAATAAAAATAAAATATAATATTTAACACATGTTTTGACAAAATAAAAAAAATGAAGAAAGAGTTTGCCACTTGTGTGTGCAAGTTGAAAACCTATTTTGTTTTTATTGGCTCCGGCACAGTTATTAAGTGCAGCCCCCTCAGAAGAAAAGTCAGTAGTCTAAAACCGGTCCAAAATTCATCAATTATTTAACATTATTATATTTATTTCTAAGGTTTTGAATTCATGATTTTTTATGAAGTCAGAACAATCTTAGCTGGCTGATTAGAGATGTACATATCATATTGTTTATTTTTGGAATACGCGTTTAGTTCACATGTAATATTATTTTTGAGAATACATTACTAAAAAGTAACATTGTTATAGGAATATTGTATTACTTTGTTTGATTTGTTTAACAACATTATAAAATTATAATATTTGGTTGGAAGAATATAAGAATATTTGGATGTATACTTTACCAAATTATTCTTGTGATGTATTTTTTTAAAGTTAAACTTTAATATTAATTTATAAATATTTGAATGAAAATTTTAATCGTTATAATATCTAACCTTTGAAGAGAAATTACATTTAATATATAATTAATATAATTAGTATATTAAATTTATATTTTTAAATAATGTTCATAAGTATCATATTTATTTATATAAAATATAATATAATATAATATAATATAACATAAAAATAATATTATAGTAGTAAAATATTATTTTAAATAATTACTTTGTTACAATAATATTATTTTTTATCCCATAAAATTATAAATAGAAAAATATTGAATATTAAAAATATAAAATATTTAAATTCTCAAAATTATCAATATTTTAGTAAATCAAACTCTTTGTATTATTATTTTTATAATTTTGAGTAAAATATAAAAAATCAGAATTTAGAAGAATAATTATAAAAACAATTTATTAGTCTAAAGGTATTATTGTCCAAAGTAGTGGGAATGTAAGATTACCTTAGAATTTGGAGTTAATAACATTCCCATAATTTTAACAAAAAAATGCTACTATTGGGAAAAAAATATTCTCGGTAATATAAGATTTCGTGAACTAAACGTGATAATATAATTTCGAAAAAAACATTTCCTTTAATAATATAAGATTCAGCGAACCAAACACACCAAGTTTGGTCTTGCGGTATGTTAAAATTTATGTTAAAAGTAAAACAGGCGTTTTAGACCTCGAGTGGCTCAATGTACGCACTAATATTTAATATATGAAATATTCAAAATACATTGACGAATTGATTGGTCTATTGATAAAATAGACTGCTGCAAAACGAGACGTTAGTAATGACTGAAAAATATTAAATAAAATATACAATCAGAATGATAACCGTGTCGTGGTAATCCACTGTCTTATAAGTAAATTCGTCCCGATGTGTGTAATCGCTACAATGGACGAACATCTCCTTAACACGGCTCTCCAAGATTTCGTACACCCGAAAACTGAAGTGAACTTGGTGGTATTGCTCTTCTCTCAACTCAAACAACACTAAAAAAAGAGGAGTGTTTCAAATCAAATGTTTGCTTGGGATATCTAAAAATAAATGAAATTGCTTACTATTTATAGACTAAATAGTGAGGACAAAATCATCATTTTCAATACTAGTGGTATAACCTAATTTGAGCATATTTCTAATACTAGTGGTATAACCTAATTTGAGCATATTTCTAATACATGGCTAGACTAGGGGGACTTAGAGGTGATTTGACCCTAAATCTAATGACTTAAATGTAACACATGGAAAAGAAATGGATCTAACTAAGATTAAACTAAAATCAGTTACTAAAACGCAAAAAGCTATGAAATAAGGAGGAGTTAATATGTGGTTTTACCAAAATTAAAATAAAATCAAACTTTTCCTTGTTAAATTCAAGAACACTATGAACCAAAACAAAAACCCCTTTTTCCAATTTTCATTTTCATTCTGCGCGATGGAACCCTAAAGTTTTATACCTCTTCTCTCGTTCCCTTCGCTCATTACCCCCACGGCAACAGCTCACCAACAAACCGGAGCAGCCTCATCGCCTCGACCGATAACCAAACAAAGGACCACCCCACACGGTGGTCCTTAAACCACAAATCAACACCCAACGATGGCAAGGTATTTCCCCTATCTTATGTTATTATTATTTTTAGATACTATGGAATTAGCATAAAACGTAGAACTAACAATAACAATTAAATTATTTCCTTTGTCGTAACCTGAGAACTGAAGAAATAAATCGAAAAAAAAACTAGAATACCTCTTTGCTCTGTATTTTTGATTGCTGAAAAAAAACGTTTATTCCTGTGAAAATTTTCTGTCTTTTATCATTGAGCGTTTTTCTTAGTTTTTTTTAATAAAAATCCCCCCTTACATTGTTTTAGTGCCTGGGTTTTATACCCTTACAGAGGAAGGAAAAACAAACAATAATGGAGCACTCATGGGCACGTTATGGGACTTGCACAACTTAGTGGAGCAGCATGGGTGAGACAAGTATGGGTGGTGTCCAGCATGGTGCTTCTTGTTGGTGCCTGACAGGTATGGGTGGGGCATGGGCAGCATTAGTGTAGTTGGTTGGTGAGGACAAAATTTGGTGTCTACAGGATGCTAATAATCTTCCATCACCTGATAAAGTAGCACGACTGGTTCAAAACCACAACATTCAATACGTCAGGATTTATGATACCGATCGCCAAGTTTGAACGCCTTTAAGAACACCGGCATTGAATTGACGGTGGGCGTTCATAATTCAGAATTACCGGCGTTCCAGTCCCAACCATACGTAGTTTCCTGGCTCACAAATAGCATCCTCCCATTCTACCCGGCTGCTAAGAGCCTAAGATCACCTACATAACTGTAGGTAACGAAGTGACCGAAAGCCCTGATGACTCAGCCAAATTGGTTGTGACTGCCATGAAAAACGTCGTTTCAGCATTGAAAACGTTTAACCTCCAAGATAGTATCAAGGTCTCAACTGCACTCTCCTTTGGGGTTTTATCTAATTCATTCCCACCTTCTGATGGGGCTTTTAATAGTAACCTTGCATTTGTCTTGGATCCTTTGTTGGAATTCCTGAATGAGAACAGATCACCTTTTATGGTCAATATATATCCTTATTTTACTGTTAAGGACGATTCCTCTTTGAAATTTGCTCTGTTTGAGCCATCCGACCGAGCCTTTGTAGATCGGAATGGTTTCCGTTATGACAACATGTTTGATGCTCAGTTAGATGCCGTGCATTTTGCCATCCTCAATCAATTCAGAAGAACCAGGAAGGTATCTGACGCCCAACTAGATGCTGTTCATTTTTCCTTGGCCGATCAAAACTACAATGACATGAAGACTGTTGTTATAGAATCAGGCTATCGTACGAGAGGTCCACCACGAGATAAGTATTCTACTATTGATAATGCCATGACTTATAATAAGAACTTGATTCATCATGTTACCTCTGTTTCTCGTACAACTGCCATGCCTGGTGAAGTTCATGTTATGTCTGGTACACCTGCTAGGCCTAATGTAGAGGTAGATGTGTACATTTTCTCCTTGTTTAATGAGAACCAGAAGGACGGATCAGAAATAGAGGGATACTGGGGTATATTTTATCCGGACATAACACCTGTATATAATCTGGAGTTCCCTGGAAAAGGAACCAATCCAACTCCAAGCGGGAGAAGCTGGTGTCATTTCCAATACTAGTGGTATAACCTAATTTGAGCATATTTCCAATACTAGTGGGTTAACCTAATTTGAGCATTATCAACATGGTCAATGTACCTTAAATGAATTTACAGGGCCATGAGCCAAAAATTTTCTCTATAAGAAGCAACTTTGGAGTCAGCAAGAGTAACGCAGAGAAGAAGACTCTTCAGCATTAATTATTAAGATATTATAAAAATGTGTTCGAGTTTGAAGCTTTTGTTAGCAGTTTCTGTGTTGCTTCAGCTTTTAGGTATGTTTCCCTTCCTTTTCTTATCTTCATTGTGTGTGTTTTTTTTTCTGCAATACTGACTTAACACCGCCGTATTTGACTGAGATTATGTAGGAAGCAAAAAAGGGAAGATTATAAGCCAATTTCTTGTTAAAACTTTTTTTCCCTGTAGATAAGATATGCAATATTATGTTTTTTGCGGTGGAAAATACATGTTAAATTCGTGTTTTTCCATATGTAAAGGTTTACTGAATTTCTATGCTAATTTCCGTGGGCAGATTTGAGTAGGGGAAACAGAGTAGGAGTTGACTATGGAAGGGATGCTAATAATCTTCCATCACCTGATAAAGTAGCACGACTGGTTCAAAACCACAACATTCAATACGTCAGGATTTATGATACCGATCGCCAAGTGTTGAACGCCTTTAAGAACACCGGCATTGAATTGACGGTGGGCGTTCATAATTCAGAATTACCGGCGTTCCAGTCCCAACCATACGTAGTTTCCTGGCTCACAAATAGCATCCTCCCATTCTACCCGGCTGCTAAGAGCCTAAGATCACCTACATAACTGTAGGTAACAAAGTGACCGAAAGCCCTGATGACTCAGCCAAATTGGTTGTGACTGCCATGAAAAACGTCGTTTCAGCATTGAAAACGTTTAACCTCCAAGATAGTATCAAGGTCTCAACTGCACTCTCCTTTGGGGTTTTATCTAATTCATTCCCACCTTCTGATGGGGCTTTTAATAGTAACCTTGCATTTGTCTTGGATCCTTTGTTGGAATTCCTGAATGAGAACAGATCACCTTTTATGGTCAATATATATCCTTATTTTACTGTTAAGGACGATTCCTCTTTGAAATTTGCTCTGTTTGAGCCATCCGACCGAGCCTTTGTAGATCGGAATGGTTTCCGTTATGACAACATGTTTGATGCTCAGTTAGATGCCGTGCATTTTGCCATCCTCAATCAATTCAGAAGAACCAGGAAGGTATCTGACGCCCAACTAGATGCTGTTCATTTTTCCTTGGCCGATCAAAACTACAATGACATGAAGACTGTTGTTACAGAATCAGGCTATCGTACGAGAGGTCCACCACGAGATAAGTATTCTACTATTGATAATGCCATGACTTATAATAAGAACTTGATTCATCATGTTACCTCTGTTTCTCGTACAACTGCCATGCCTGGTGAAGTTCATGTTATGTCTGGTACACCTGCTAGGCCTAATGTAGAGGTAGATGTGTACATTTTCTCCTTGTTTAATGAGAACCAGAAGGACGAATCAGAAATAGAGGGATACTGGGGTATATTTAATCCGGACATGACGCCTGTATATAACCTGGAGTTCCCTGGAAAAGGAACCAACCAACTCGAAGTGGGAGAAGCTGGTGCATTGCTTCTCATCTGGCTCCAAAATCGGATTTACAGAAGGCATTAGATTGGGTTTGTGGTCCTGGAAAAGCGGATTGTTCCGCCATTCAGCCTGGCGGTGGGCAATGTTTCGAACCAAATGATCTTGTTTCACACGCCTCATTTGCATTCAACAATTACTACCAGAAAAATGGGCTCTCTGATGAAGCATGCAGTTTTGGAGGAACTGGGATCAAAGTTTATAGTGACCCTAGTAAGTCAATTACTTTATGCAGAGTCTAATTACATGATTTTTCAAGGTCTAAAAGCTTTCCATCATCCCGTTTTATTATTTGTGCAGGCCATGGTAATTGCATCTATAACGGTAAGTACATCAGGTTATGGAACATCTCATCACATATACCATAACAGTATTTATTTTTATATCTGATTTCATGAGATAAACCGAGATTCTTTCACAGTAAAAAGTAATGATCAAAATGGTAGAACTTGGTGTGTTGCTTCTAGGCAGGCTTCTCAAACGAACTTACAGACTGCATTAGATTGGGGGCAGGCTTCTCAAACGAACTTACAGACTGCATTAGATTGGGCTTGTGGTCCTGGAAAAGCTGACTGTTCTTCAATTCAGCCTAACCTGCAGTGTTTTGAGCCAAATACTCTACTTTCTCATGCCTCTTTTGCATTCAACAATTACTACCAGAAAAATAGGGCTACCGATGTTTCCTGCAGTTTCCACGGAAATGCCATCAAAGTTGACAAAGATCCCAGTAAGTCTACTGTTTTAGCTGAACTCATTCCAATGTTGATGGTGTCAACTGCCATTTAGTATTCCGATATGAAAGGATCTTGCTTTCCCGGAAATGCTCATCTATTTAATTTATTTGTGCAGGCTATGGTAATTGCATCTATCACTGTAAGTACAAATCCTGAAACATCTCATGTACCATGATAACCTTCATTTTGTCTCCCTTCCTAGTTCCTATTGGATATCACCTTTGTTTTATGGTTGACTGCTGGAACTAATCTAATGTTAGGTAATTCTTGTGGTTCTCATGCAGGATTAGGAAAACTGAAGGTAATATGACCGAGGTGTGCGCATGAGATTGCTAGTTTCTTGCAAATGGTTTTTTAGTTCCTTTTCTTGTTTCAAGGTGTAATATGTTAAGTTGCGTCATTTCAAAGAACGTTGACAAGGTCGCCTCTAGTTTCCTCTTGGTATTTGGTAGTGCTAATTAAGCACTGAATAATGAGAACGTACGTCCACTGTTCTACAGGTTGTAACATGTTTTATCAATGCTATACTACTCATGCACACGAGGAAGTATCTCGACATGTATACGGTTTGATTTAAAAAAAAACCATATATTTCAAATTCTTAGAAATCATATCTCCATTTTCAAGTGTCAGACCCGAGTTTTGGATAAAGGTACTTCGTGAAAAATGGAGAGTCCAAACGATATAGAAGTTAAGGCCTTCCAATCGGATTTCTGTAACACAAATCCTAATGCTTTTAGCAACAAAATTCATGGCGGAATTCTTTGTAAATATAGACCAAAGTACCTCACTCCACAATCTTGATCATAATACCATTCATTAAACAAGTACAGAACCAAAGCAAGATCACAAGCATAAAACTGTTACAAAAATTAAGCCTATTGTTTCTGGATAAAGGTTCCCCGTGACTTTAAATACTAGTAATACTGTTAATTTAACTGCATCCAACCATTACTACGGGAAGTGGCCGATGTATTTTCGTATAGAAAAAAGAAGCCAAGAAGAAATGCGAAGATTAAGGCACACCAAAGAAATTAAAGACCCTGGTCAATGAGATAATAACCCAGCCTTTCAACAATCATGTTGCACTGGCCAGGAGTCATTGGCTCGTCATAGGTCCCGATGATCAAGGCTTGATTGGTCTTTTTAACAGTAACACCTCCAGGTCCCTGAAATTCAAATGACAAAAGGCTCAGAATGCAACCACCGAATAAAACCAATAGCACGAAAAGTTATGCAGTAGTGGCCATATAACTCTCCTTCCACACCCCTCCTTTCCTTCCTCAAGATTTCTCTATCTGGAGAAAATACAATCCCCTAAGGAATATCAGGGTTTGGGGACACAATATAACAGCTGCATATAAAAATGTAAACGGCAAATGCCGATTGCAAACGAAGTAGATATGAGATTTTGCAGTGTCATAAAACAAGTAGATAATAACACTTTCTTAGATGCTTCATGTATTAAAATTATGCTTGGAACAAAATGTATAAATGACAAATCTCTTTGCATCCAACACAATGTAAAAATGCATTTCAGCGTGAGATTTTTCAGTTTTATAGACAAAATAAAACTTGGAAGAAATGGAGAACATCACCTTTTTCCCTCGAATAACAGCTCCGGGTTCACCTTGGATTACCATGGATTTTGTGCCACCAAGGTATAATGCGGTGGGGGCAAGTGATCCAAGTTCAGCAAAGTCATTTATAATGGCAGAGATTTCTTCAAGCTTGAACTGAAATCGCCATAGAACCAAGAAAGACCTAAATATACAAAAGGTGTCCAACCTATGCCCGTTTTTCCAGTTTAGTGTATAACGTTTATTTTGTTCCAGTTTGATGCCTGACGTTTCATTCTGTTATTCAAAATGAGGCAATTCGTGACAGACCGTCGTTAAGTGACACGTGTCACAATCTAATAATTTTAAAAATTTTATATAAAATTTTAAAAAATAAAATTATATATTTTTTAAAAAGAAACTACAAAATTTTGAAATAACCCCAAAACTTTAAAAATCTTCATTTCAACCCCTAAACCCATGCTGCCCTTTGCAGTCGAGGAAGCTCCACCCAACCTCACCTTTCTCGACGACCAAAACTTATGAAATTATGACTGATCAACGGCCGATCGACGGCGAATCGACGTTTTATACCCCGCAAACCCTAAGATGAAAATCGTAATCCCAAGCGATTTTGACGGCCAATCGACGACAACTTAGACGACTTATAACTAGGATGATGACAATGACTACATTGGCGGCGGTGGTCGTGACCATAAAAGGTGGCGGCGATGGTTTAATTTTAGGATTTTAGGGTTTTTGAGGGTTTTTTGAAATTTAAAAGAAATAAGAGTTTTTTTTATAAATATAATAATATTTTTTAATATTAAAAAAAATCAAAATTACGAGATTGTGACACTTATCACTTAATGGAGAAAACTAACGGTCTCACATCTTGACCCAATTTGAATAACAGAATAAATCATTAAGCACTAAACTAAAAAAAACGGATATAGGTTAAACACCTTTTTATGTATTTAAGCCAGCCAACAAACAATAATAGTATGTTTATCACACAAAAAAATAGCAAAACATAACCTTTCTTTAAATCACACACACACACAAAAACTACCTTTAAAATCGAATAGACAGTATTAGCAGAAATATTTCACTCAGTTGTTACCTATATCATCATTGCTTATGGTCATGGTCATTTGCAGAGATCCATCAGCACAACTTATTTCATTTTATTGAAACGATGATTAATTCTTACAAAACGGACAAATAGAAACAAACCCGGAAATCATAAGGAATCTTATAATTTACACGCATGAAAAAGCAAATCTCTCAATACCGCATAAAACATAAACTAATAAATCATAGCCAAAGTTAAACTTTGGAGAAGAGGAAAAAGGCCTCAGTTTTGCTTTCAGCAAATTTGAACAAATACCAATCCTTAGGGAGCAAACCAGATCAGCTAATAAATCATGCAAAAGCGAAATTCAACCACAGGAATCGGATCTCTTTACTCAACTGCTTTGGAAACGGGAAAAGGTAAAAAATGATAAATCAAAGGGAAGGGGGGAATAGGGAGGAAGAACTTCAAAGAAGAAGAAAACAATCTGAGGGAAATTGGAGCTCTGGGCCCAAACGCTTCCGTCTTGACCGATGATGGCTGCGGTAGACAGAGTGTTGCCTTCGATTTCACACAACAAGTGATCATCTACATACGTTTGCCACGACATTTTCTCCTTCCTCTACTTCACTCGAATCTCTTCTTCTTCTTCTTCTTTGATGAAGTTCTGTTGTGTTTTCTTTAAGAAAACAAAATGAAGGCTGGGAAAGTATTTTGACTGAATCGACAAATGCAAATTCCTTTTTTTTTTGTCGTAACTTTAAGACATAAATTTAAAATTGAAAAAAAGAAGAAGGAAACGTTATATTATTATGAGTGTGGATTTTATTTAAATTTAAAACAAAATATATTATGAGATCATGTTAAAATATTAAAAAACATTTTAAATATAATTGGATTTTCTTTATTACTGGCAGAGAAGCTATTACATAACAATCTCTCCTCTTTGGTACTTTGGTACAAAATACAAAAGAAAAATGGTTATAATTTATTCAGTTACTAATTATTTGCTATTTTTAATTATTCTATCAAAAAGCAACTGGAAAGAGTCGTGGCAAACAAAAACAGCTAAGCTCCATTATACTAATGCAAATTATTAAAGGAAAAAGAGACAAGAAATCCATTTTATTTGAGCTCTTAGTTGTTCCCAATTATAATTCGGTGAAAAAAAAGACACATGTATGAGTTTGAGTATAATAAAAATATTTAGATAAAGTTTGAGTATGAATATTTAAACATTTATTGTTAAACGATTGAAGTTTTTAAAATAAATTTTATTTTATAATCTTCTTATATTAATAAAAATAATTTAAGTTGTACTTTTAAATAATGTTTGATAAATGAAATATTTTTAAAAATAAAATGTACTTTTAAAATTTAAAATTTTGTAGGTCTAGTGTAGGGCTGGCAATGGATCGGAGATGTGTCGGGTGGAGCTTCATCTGTCCCATCACCCGCGGTCCAAATCTCCATCCACACCATCTATCTCCCACAAAAAATTTCATCCATATCCGCTCCATCCATAATCCGCAGGTGAAGCGGATGAGAAATGGATGATACTATGAACAAAATCTATTTTTACATCCTAAGCTCAAATTCTTCTAACATTCATAGAAACAAAATATTGATACTCAAACATTCATAGAAACCAAAACATGAACAATAAATTTTCATCAAATTCAAACAAAAATAAAATGGAACACAATTTATATAGTCTAGTGCACTATGTTTGTGATACATTTTTCAAGTTAATAGATGCATCATATATAGTCTTGTACACCAAATATAATCTTCAAATCTTCATCAACAAACTATCACTTCTCAAAAGTCCTCTCCATCCTAGTATCAATAGGGATAAAACCAATATTAAAAAATTAGACATTTTCATCGGGTGATGGATCAAAAAAATTTCATCCATATCCGACCCGACCCATCACTCGTCAATCATCCGTTTCACAACGGATTTTCATCCATTTATTCGGGGGGCGGGTGAGTGGAATGGATAATTGCCAGCCCTAGTCTAGTGAGACCCATGGAAAGATGCAGCGTCAGTGTACAAGGATGGATCATAAGATAGGTTGAATTGAATGACAGATTTATTTATATTCCTAACACCACACCCAATGTATGGCCCATGTAGTTCTCAACTCGCTTTGCAATTCTTATGGTTTTGGGGTCCATTCAGTTCCATTTCTAGAAAAATGATATCTCATTTATTATTTATGCCCAACCATTTCTTTCCTTCGCGAAGCAATTTTTTTTAGCATTTAATATTGAATTTATCTATCATCAACCAATTAGTCTAATAGGATGAGGTACTAGATTCTTTAAGCAAGTTCAGTATTTCAACCCTAACATTTGTGAATAGAGCAAACTGGGTTGAAAAGGTTGTCTTTGCCTTTGTAGTACCTGGTCCGGATTAGTCGATTAAGAAATCGAAAACTAGTGGTTATATATATATATATATATATATATTGAATTTATTTAATTAAACTTATAGTTTTGTAGTTAATTAGTAAATACTTTATACTTTGGTTTTATGAATACAAAGGAAAATAAAATTTTGTTTCAACGATAAGGATTGCAAAATAAACTTTAAAAAATATGAATCAGATTACTTAACACTATTTTTTCCTTAGCTTATATTAATTTTAATTGATATAATAACCGTTTATAGTAAATTGAACTTTTTATTTATTATATTCAGTATGTACAAATGAGAAGAGATCCATTTCCACTATTTTAAAACTAAAACAATTTTTGTTTGTTTCACACCTTCATGTCATGTGCATTATCTTTATGAATAAAAATGATATATTACGATTTGGTTGTCAAAGTATAAATCATAAAAATATTACTACATATATTATTACTTAAATTCTTCACTAATGTAAATGGATTGCTTCCTCTGTAAATATGTATGAGAAATGAAAAAAAAATATGCAAGAAAGAATTGATTATATATTTTATATATAAACGAGGAGTCTTTTTTTAATGTATAAATTTTAATCTCATTATTTCAGATATATACGAGTAAATATATATATATATATATATAATTTTGTTATAAAGTTATAGTATAAAAATTTACAAGTGAAGAAACGAAAGATTTATGTTTTAAGTTGGGGTCTAAAGCACTCCAAAATTCAAACTACAGCCATCGAAGGCGAAGGCATTTGGGCCAAGGAGAGGCTAAGTTTAGCCTCTTTAAGAAGATTAAAGTCCATAATAAATTAGGCCATGCACGTAAGCAATCAGCAGTTAACAGAGTTCCAATATATAGGACGTGAAGGAAGTAGGAGGAAGCTTTATCATAATCTTTCCTGAAGGAATAGAAAATCCATATATTTTCGAAAATTACAAGTCAAAATGTGGAACAGGAAAAAAATGGCAGCAAGGAACATGAAATATGATCCTATCATATTGGTTCATACAATAAATGGGGCATATTCAAAGTTCTAACGTTCATTATATATATAATGGCATCAAATAGTGCCACCCCAAATAAACAAAACCCAAAACCCCACAATCACCGATGGCCGATGGGGGATTACAAATACAAATAAAACCCAACAATAATAAAGAAATAAAACAGGCAGATGTATCCATAAAATTACTTGAAACCTAAAGACTTACAAACTTTTAAAAAAGGGAAATGAAGGCACTGGATATTGATAGCTAGGTGGTCGACTACAGACCCTGTTCGGCAAGATAATCGCCCAACCTCTCCACAACCAGGTTGCATTGCCCTGGAGTCACCGGTTCTTCATAGATCCCAAACACCAGAGCCTGTGCAGTTTTCTTAATGGTGACTCCTCCTGAACCCTGCCCAGACCCCCCAGAAAAAAAATCCACAGTTTGAGATTTTTCAAGTCGGAATAGTTAGTGTTATTTGTACATCAATATTATTCACCTTTTTTCCACGAATGACAGCACCAGGCTCACCCTGGATGACCATAAACTTAGTACCACCAAGGTGCAAGGTGGCCGGGTTCGTCGAAATCCTTCATGACGTCAGTGATCTCCTTGGCCTGGCACTGCAATCAGATAATAAAGAATCGATGATATTGACGATGTAAAGATCAAATAATGTTAATGAATAAGGATTATATATGATTATGACCTTGGGGAAGTTAGAGCTCTGAGCCCAGATACTGCCGTCGTGGCCAACGATAGCAGCGGCGGAGAGGTGTTGGCCAGTGCCATCAATGTCGCACATCA